CTGGATTCACCTAAAGGCAGAATTTAAAAAGTTTCCTCATCTGTATGCCTCATAAAGGCTCTACAACACATCTTCTTGTCAAGCATCCTACTTACATGTCTCATTTCAGTGATTTTTAATAAGGGACAACATGAAAAACAGAGAGACAAGCAGAAAAGGAGAACAATATAAATGAAAGAGAGGAAAGAATGTTAGTTCAAGGAGTGAAACACAGTAAATGATAACATTTCAAGGATCCTCAGAATAAATGCATGCATACTGCATAAATATATTCATATATTATGCCTATACAAATGTAGAATATACAAATATATACATATGTAACTGAGGAATTGTGTATCTACTTATCCCTGTGCGATACTTGTCTAGTAACTGGGAAAGGAGAACAGTAATATTTCAAAAGCAACTTCAAGATCACAAGAAAGAGTCCCTCAGCAAGATTATTACATATCAAAGAATGCTAAGCTTTCCAGAAAACCGAGGAATATAGATAAGTGACATAAAGTGGGTAAGATCCAAAAATTAAAGGACAGATTCTGGGGTCTAGCCATGAAGCATGGAAGTAATGTCTGAATGGACTTGGAGGATGACAACTCATAAACCAGACTTCCATACCCAGACACACAATCAAATAGATATGATGTAGAATAAACGCATTGCTCACCATGCCCCATCTTGTCAGTGTCCCCATTGAGCGTTTGCCATTGAAGACACGGGAGACTGCAGACCAGCATGAGCAGGAATGGAGCACAGAGCACAGGAATAGGCAAAGTGTGGGAAAGAAGCAGCTCAAGCTCAGGATGAACCATCTTGTGGCTCCAGTTAGAAAAGGCTCCCATCAAAAGAGAGTCCCCGGAGTCCCTCAGTGGGAATGCAAATTAGTGCAACCATTATGGAACACAGTAGGGAAGTTCTTCAACATATGAGAAATAGGACCTTCATAGCAACCAACAGCCCCACGGCTGGTCCAAAGGAAATGAGATCAGTATGTCGAAGAGACAGCCGCACCCCAGCGTTCATTGCAGCACTGCCTCAAGAGCCAAGATGTAGAATACTATTCCAAAACAGTGACAAAAGAATGAAGCTGTCTCATCCCAACAACACGGATGGGCCTGCACATCTGTTTATTAAGGGTAACCAACCAGGCCTAAAAAAACAAATTCTACACGTTCTTACCTATACGAGGAATTAGACAAGGAAAGAAGTTGTTCTCCTCAAAATTAAGAATTCAATGGCTCTTATGGAAGTCTGGGGAGATTAGCCAGGAGAGAAGATGGGAAAGAGGTTGAACAGTAGTAGCAAGTTCCAATGGGAGAAAAAGAAGTTCTGAAGAAAAGAGACATGTCTGTGATGCCAGATACTTGGGAGGAGAGAATGGTAGAACACCCGGGCATGGCTAGCAAGAGCCTCTATCCAACACGAAATAAAACCCAAAGAGCTGGCCATAGCTCACGTGGTAGAGTGTTTCCCTGGTAAGTACTGTTGTGGGTTAGGCCACCAGGAGAGACACAGTACAGCTGATAGAAAGTCTTTATTACTGGCTGGGACTAAATGTAGTCCTGAGTCCCCTGTTATGGCTGCTTTGAAGCAAAAATTTACATCCTTGCAAAGGATGTAAAGAGCTGTTACAGCTCTTTCCTGCAGGTGCAAGCCAAACGTGAAGTTACAGAAGCCAGACGAGGCTATAAACATTGAATGGGAGCAGCATGACCTGTTCCTATAATTTGTCTCTATGACCTTGGAACATATATGGTACACTGGCTGCATATATCTTTAAATATCAAATCATAAGGAACTAGACCCACAGGTGGGGGTGCAGTCCATTCTTTAAAATGGAGTGATCAAAGCGAATGGAGTTACAGAAGCCAAGAGTAAACTCTAAGACTGTGAGGTTTAATAAGGCCTATCCCAGTCCAAGGCCCTGGGTTCAATCTAGACAAAGGACTTGAATATTTTCACTGAAAGGAAATGTTAAGCTTGGGAAGATATGCATGTTTAAACTGACTGAAATGTGATAGAAGAGATCCATGTTTGGGAACATCACATGATGCACCGCAAAGAGGTAACGCTGTTATGTGTCTGTGTAACCTGTAGATTCGAATCTAACTGAAAAAGAATCCTAGGAAGGTGCTTGTGAGCTGCTTCCAGGGTTGGGGGTGGGGTTAGCTCACCTTAGGTACAGAAGCCATCAGTGTGGACGGGCAGGTGCCGGTCCCACAGGGCCTGCCATGGGGAGGGGAGCTGGCAGGTACCATACCTGGCACAGATGAAGCCACACGATCGAGGGTGAATTAGTGAGCAGGTGGAACTGAGCCTTCGGGGTGAGCACAGGGTGTAGAGGGAGAAACTGCAGTGACTGAACATCTGTACTCTGCTGGTGGTGTCCCATCCCAGAGCGTGAACAGCTGATCACACTGTGTCAGGGGACGGAGATGGCTCCGAGGGGAGTGAATTTACTGGAAGAGAAGGGGAGGATGAAGGTTTTCCCTCCAAATTTTCTGAGGAGAAATCCTACAGGTGGTGCTTAAAAAAATAAATAAAAGCAAGAAAAATATGAAATATACTTTCAAAACCAGTGCTAAAAGAGGTGCGATTATTTACACCAGGGAAGTATTTGAGATGAAGCGTATAGAAGAGATGATTTTTTATTGTTTTGCTAAACAGCCTCTGGAGTGATTTGAGCATTAGCATGTGTGCATATATCACACTGAACAAAAACTGTCATCAGAATGTGCACAGGGCTCAGGCACTAATGGCTCACACTCGGAAAGTTGAGATCTGAGGATTGAGGTTCAAAACCAGCCTGGCAGGAAAGTCCATGACAGTCTTATCTCCAATTAAGCACCAAAAAAGGCTGGAAGTAGAGCTGTGGATCAAGTGGTAGAGAGCCAACCTTGAGCAAAACAGCTCAGTGCCCAGGTCTTAATCTCAAGCCCCATAACCAGTACATTAAAACAAATGAAGAGGGCAAAAAAGAAAGATTATGAGTTGTGCCAGTCAAAAGGAAGTTTTCTTTTATTGGCCTGTATTAAATGCATCATTCTTTCTGGAAAACACTTTAGTTGTAAATTATCATGTCAACTTTGGAACAACTTTTGAGGAGTGTCTTGCTTACATGACATTGTTAGATTCTGGCTCACATTCTACTATGTTGTTCTAAATGGCCTGTGGATTCTTGTTTTTATAGTTGCCATATAAGCTTCTTAAGTTGCAGAATATAGCATTGGGTAACACCCATTTCAATAAATAGCCTCCCAATGAGGTGTCTTATGTGAGAAAAGAAAATATCATACAATAAAAAAAATGTCGGAGCTGCAGACCTCATTAATTCAGTTTTTTTTTCCATATTCTTCCTAGGCGAAGGTGAAGTTTACCTTTGAATGCCTAAGAAGAAATGAATATTGTAAGCATCATTATAAAGATATCGTGGCTATTTCTTTAACAGAAACTGAAGACCGAAGCATATATTATTTTTAAAAGATTCTTTTTGTTTAAGCAAATCTCTGTACTTAGTTTCTTCATGTCATCAGTGCTTATTAAATCCCTCCTTTGTTTTATGTGTTCTGCCGCATGTGGAGAATCCAGTGCTGCTAATGTGTAGCGTGTGGTTTTAAGATAGCTGCTGGACAACGCAGCAGCCATGGAAATGGGCAACTGTGGTCAAAAGGAAATGGGATGACATTCAGCAGGAGCCTTTGTGCAGGCTTCGCTTAGGAATTTCCATTTGAGCCACCTCTAGGAGCACAGTGAGCAGAAGCACTCCACCATGGGAGAAATCCCCGGAAGAAAAAGCAGTCTGGTTAGGGGTGCAGACGGGGGTTCCCTGGGAAAGGGGCAGTGGCCCTGGGTTGCAGGGAGGCTAAATAGTGAGTCTGGATATCAAGAAAAGCTTTCTAGATTTCATGACGTGGGTGTGGCTGCGAAATGCCACTATCATTATTCACAATCGCCTGGCATTTTCGAGTCATTCAGTCATTACAAGTCTACTGTGGAAAGTTTTCAGATAGGAAAATCATGTGAAAAAGTCTCTAACACCCATGTGAGACACAGTTTAGCAGGCTGAAAATTCAAGGGCCCCATGGCTTACATAGCCATGCAGAAGTCTTGTATAAAACACAGCAAGGCGCATACCTAATGGGGAAGATCGCTTTAAGCTTTTCATCACTTTGGAAGTGTCAGTGCATGCATTTATCAAGTGGGAACACTTCATAGGAACAATCAGAGGAAGAAGAGGGAAAGGAGAGAATGAGAGATTTATCAAGGAGCTTAGGAAAGAAGAGACAACAAACAAAGGAGAGAGAGAACCACTAAAAGGCCAAGTCTCAGATCCATTGGAAGGAAGGGGACATGAAGAGCCAGAAGATGTCTGACTCCAGCAGGTCAGAAACCAGTTAGGAGAGGCTGAAATCCAGGAGGCAACCAACAGCATGGTGAACAAAAGAAGAAAGGAAGGATGTAGGAAATACAACAAATGCTTGACCCCCCTATACACCTACAGGTAGCCAGGCCCTTTCACAAGGCCCAGGGAGGATCAGGAGGGGAAAAGAAGCAGCAAATATGACCCCTGGAACTATGAGATTGTGATGGACCAGCACAAAGCCCACTTGTGTGCATGCAAGGCATTGCATTATTTGATCCCATTCCTGTGAAAAGAAAAAAGAGTGGCGGAAGGCACCTGGTGTCTGGTCTCCTCTGGTGTCTGAAGCGGATCCAGAAACTACTTGATTCCAAAATCAAAGCAATGAGAGGTTTCCTTGTGTCTTCGCAACAGCCCAGCACCTTGTTGGCCAGGCTGACAGGAGTATGAGTGAGCACAACAAGCACACTGTTCTGTGGACTGTTGTCTGCTGTGCTGACCTCCCTAGACTAAAATAATAATATTAATAATAATAATAAGTGTTTAAGAGCTATGGTGGCTGAGGTTGCTCCCCTAGGAGCTTCTCGGGGTGTCTGTCTCTCCCTACCCCTATTTCTCACCCTCTGCTCTCTTCCTCCTGCAGGGCTCTATGAACCCTTCTTCACCAATGCTGAACCCGAATGCTGTGACGTCAGGAGAGAGGAGCAGCCCAGCCACCCGCGCAGAGCGGCCGCAGGCCGGAGAGACTCGTGTCACAGGACCTCGCTCACGGTGTCCTCGGCCACGAGACTGTGCCATGGCAGACTCAGACTGTACGTCCTGGTCCTCATCCTGCTGCACTCCGTGCTCACCGCCTCTGTGGCACTCAACACCACAGGCCTCGGCATGGGAGGTCTACCCACACTGGAAGAAAACCCGGCCAACGAGGACTGACCGGGACCTGGCCAGGGACCTGCCCTGGACCTGCCTCTCCACGCTTACAGCTGGCCCACCAGGAAAACGCACCTGCTGTCCAACTGAACAGAAACCGGGTGCTTTTACCGTCTCATCACTTCTTGCAAGGCCTCTAGGGTACCATTACAAAGATCCACAAGATCCCACACAAGGACACAATCGCAGCTTTTTCATGGACTACAAAAGGCTCTGAAGTGACTCTCAATTTCTCACACCATTTTATACGCTGTGTTTTAATGTTTGCAGGTTTTCTTTGCTTCCGTTCCAGTTTCGGGTTTTCTTTTTCTGCACTTGTTAATACAGGATTTATTTTCGGGATGTTTTTTTTTTTTTTTCTCAGAGGTAAAACTAAGTCTTTTCACCGTCTTCTCTCTATCTATCTATTTCTAGACATTGTGTGTGTTCATCAGATAGTTCTGTCTCTGTGTCCTGTCAGTTTCTATTAGAGGAATTAACTGCTATGTCCTCATGGTATAGCAAAAAACAAAAACAAAAAAAAACCAAAACAACAAAAAGAAAAAAAAACAATAAAAAATTAAAAATTTTTAAAAAATATAAAAAAGGTAAACAACAAAAAAAAATAAAATAAAATAAAAATGCTCCCTCAGTGGCCCTCGGGCCCTGCCGGCTTCCCCTCCCTCTCTTCTTGTGCCCTCAGCAAACAACATCGCTTGCTTCTGTCTGTGTAACCACAGTGGTGGGTGTGCTTGCTCTTTGCACAAACCCAGACCGAGAGGATCCAGGGCCCTGGCTGGACAGCATGTACTGTGGTAGTAGAGTCAGACAGTGTGCACATTTTCATGTTGAAAACACAACACAATAGAGAGAGGAGGGATAATTAAAAGAAAAAGCTATCATGAACTAAGCTGCTCCAGTTCCCATTCCCAAATGCTCTGGTCCTTTCTTGCTGGTCGTTTGGACAGGAGCAGACAGGCAGCCCTAGAGGTGGGAGTGAACGAGTCATTTCCCTGAAGATTGGAGGCGCCCACAGTGTCTCCCTTCCACCGCAGTGATGAACTGCCAGCCACTGGGGACATTGTCACAGGAACAAGGAGACCAGGACGAAATCCCGGGACCTTCCTCCCCTCCTTCCTCCCAGTGGGAGAGATGGTAGGAACAGCCAGTATCTGCAGTACACACATTAGAAACAACCTTGTCTCATGTCCCCCACACAGAGGCTTGGCGATGATTCCGAGTGTTGAAGGGCCTGCATTCCTGCCTGGTCACGGAGGAACTACTTCTTTTACAAACCAAACAGGTCAGCCATTTCTATCAAAGAGCAAAAACCTCACTCGAACATGTCCTGGGAGTGGAGGGAGTGAAGTCTGATTACTGTTTGTATTTTTCTTTTTCTTTGTGGGAACATTTCACCTGCTGAGTGTATATGGAGTTGCTTTCTGGAAAAAAATAAAAGGCTTTTATGCGTTTACAGTAGGACCAGTGGAAGGAAGAGTTAATAAGGGCTGTTTTTAAAAACAAACAAACAAAACAAAACAAAACAAATAATTTTTAAAAAAAGACACTTTACATTCCTTCCTATTCTCTGACTATATTTGGGAAGTGCACTTCAGATCAGCGTGCTGTGTGGCTGGAGTTGAAGGAAATATCCATAGAGAAAATCCTCTTAGCATACAAAATTTAGTTATTAACTTTATAGCTCTGAAATTCCCCCAGACATTTGTTTTTGTTCAAACAGACTTGAACCTCTGCATCATACTTAACCCTTGCGACATGCGTACAGTATGCATATTTTGTTTTGAATAAAATGTTTTGTTCCAGTCTGTTAAGAATATTCAAAAATAATAAAGGTATTGCTTAATAAAATTGCTAGAACTGTTTAGCAGTACATGCACAAATATTTTACTAGATTCTTTGTTTTAATAGTGTTTTGTTGAGGCTGAAAAATCCTCGAGTGGTCTGCACAAATATACAAAAAAAACACCAAAAAAAATGAAAGATTCTCCAGTTTTTCTTCTTTATTTTTAAGAATCTTTTTTTTACATATAGAAACACACTAATTCGTGTACATATGCACACATGTAGGTACCACATCTTCATTTGTGAAACTATGGTGCTTTCTCTGAGCCTAGGAAGGGGAAGATAGCTCATCGATCCTACTTTGCCCGTCAAACACTCATATAAATGAGCGTGTATAGAGGTGGGTAGAGATGTCTATGGGCAGGAGGTTGAGAGGCAGGGCTAGGGAGAGCCATCAAAGGACACAACTCACCGGTGAGCAGTTGTTGCATGAGCCCCTAAAGGCTGTCTATCAAATTCTGCATTGGTAGGCCTCTTCACACTCACATCTCTTTCCCATTCTCCACGTGGCTACTATTTTAGCCACAGGTATGTCCATCTTCATGGAAAATAACACATTCCTATTGTGTAAGTTGTGCGTACATTTAACTGGTATCACCAGAAGTTACTCTTTCTCAATACCAGGCAACGGGATGGACAATACCCTTCTTGGAAAAGAAAAAAAGAATTTGTTCATTTCCTCTTACCCTTTGCAATTGCTCAAGTTCTTTTCAGGTTCAAGGGCTCTGAGGTCTTAGCTTTTGTATAGAGAGAATAACAATGGAAGACATGATTCGTTGAGGTGAGAGGGGAGACAACCCTTCAAAAAAAAAAAGATGTTTTCAGATAAATTGGGAGACAGGGTGTAGTATAAATTGAGAAAACGAAGTGTAGCTGAGGTGAGAGGAAGATGATAGGGAGAGAAGAGGAATGAGTCTTTCCTCTCCAAGGTCTGTCTGCAGCGCCACGGTCTGTATTTCCCACCAGAGGTTTTTCTTGTCATAGTCATTTATTCTTATTAGAAGATAAGAATCTCATTCCTAATGTTCATTACTGCAAGCAGGTGTTATTCGCATAGCATGTCCACTGAATATAAAGAAGGAAAGAGACTGAGGAGCCAGAATAATCCGTAGCTTCCTGACTAAATGAAAAACAATCACTGATGAGACAAATTTTATCTATTGATTATGTTTAGTAGTTGTAGTCTGTACACAGTGGAGTACCAGGCCCATGTTCATTCTGAAGAATAAATTCAGACTCTGTTCCGTCACAACTGTCATCACATGCCATTTTCCAGACAACAGACATCCACCTTACATTGAATATAGAATTAAATATTAAAACAATTACTTCTGAAGTAAGGGGAAAACCAAGAACATGATATCCGTTTCACAAGTGAATAGACTTCTGTGTTTATTGTTTTTTCCTTTTCTGCCACAAAGAAACTTTGTGTAATATATTAGTAAGCTAAGCTAGATCTCAATGGCATAGGAGACGTAAAGACTCCTGGACATTGTGTCCATACTTTGTTGGCTTTATTTCACTAAAAAGGTAGCATTATTCCCCTCTCTTACAATATACTAGGTGAAAGTCGTACTTTTAAGGGACATCATTGTAAAGAACAGGTTCTAAGCAGTGAAATGGTACCTGTAAGTACTAGCACCAATAATTATTAAAATAAAGAAGGTAGCCAACTAACAAGCAAAGAAAGACAGAAAGGAGAGAAGAAAGAAAGGAAAGACAGCAAAGGAGAGAGAAAAGGGGGAAAGGAGGGAAGGAGAGAAAAAAAGTTTTCACCATGAATGAATAATGACTTCATTTTTTGACTGCATTAGGGCAAAGTAAATTAAAGATATAGTTGGCTATAAGAACCTTTGCCAACCCCTGAATTATGAGATGATATTTGATAGCTGCACAACATTAAAACATTAATCACTCTGAGACATTATTTTCATCCTTTTAAAGTAACAACCATATTCACAGTGTTCTTGTTACTGGAAGCATTGAACCTACCCAGACATGAGAAACATGTCTTATTTTTCCCTAAAAATGCAACCAAGCATTTGATTTCACAGGCATACATATGTATACACAAAGGGAATAGATTATATATACTGGCATAGCTTTACAGAGACATGCAGATATGTGATATATATGTATACACATCGCTTGCGAGTTAAACATTAACCAGAGAAGTCTTCAGTATGTCACACAAGCATGGCTTTATGCAGAAGGGTTTCTATGTGTATGCTAATGTTTGAGTGGTATGCTCACTTAAAAACCAAACTTACTTTGATATGGAAAGCAGACTCTCAGGATGTCTTCATTAGGGAAGGAAAAACAATTGGGGAATAACCAGATCCCTTCCAACTTCCAATCTTTAATGTTGTTTAGAACAAACTGACCACAGCTAGTAGGTAGTAGAAAGTGGTGAAAAACAAGACTTTTAACAGGAACAAAGGAAAAAAAATCCAATAGAGTTTAAAGCAATATCTCCATGTTCATTAGAACCAACAAACTCTGCTGCTCCTTCTAGAAATTCTCCACATGCCAGTAAAGCATACAGATGTCCCTTGCAGCCCTGGAATAAAAACCTTAGGATTAATTGTAATGAAATGTAACTGTAATAAAATAAAAAAATGGCCTTCATTCTTCAGGTGCTTCAGGGAGGTGTTTAGGACATCTGATTAAAACTACAAGACAACCACATGTTTAGATACCTGCCCCCCCAAAAAAAATCTGGGATCCTTTGGTTTCATCATACTTTGATGACTCAATTTCTTTTTCCCCCAAATTTTAAGATATACATTAAAAATCATTAAATAAACAAAAAAACCCACACTATCAAAAAGAACTATCTAATGTCTTCAAGGTTCTTGGTGTACATTTTTCTCCATTTCTCCCTCCCCTCCCCCCCATGGTTGTGTTAGTATTCTGGAAATAACAGAAAAGGATGACTCTGGAATCATTGAGAAGAAATACCTTGCTAGGAAGTAGTGATAGCAGTGATAGAGTTTTGGGATTTCATTTTAATATGGAAGAGTTGCACAAGTCCCTACAGAAAAGCCATGGTTTGGGGATGAGATTTAGATCCTCTTTGGGCAATGAGGGCTGATGAGAGCTCATTGAAAAAACGAGAACACACAAACAAAACACGGAAACTTCTGAGGCTCAAAATAAGA